TGTGTCTCTGAGGGTTTCTTCTGTCTCTGGGTCTCTTTGCTATCTCTGTGTCTCTGAGGGTCTCTCTGCTATCTCTGTGTCTCTGAGGGTCTTCGCTGTCTCTGGGTCTCTCTGCTATCTCTGTGTCTGTGGGTCCCCCGCACTCTCTGGGTGTCTGCCCCGTCTCTGCGTCGCGTCTCTGGAGCAGAGCCAGCTGCCCTGTGTGTGTCCCCCGGCCCCGCGGCTGAGCGGCTGAGCCTCCGGGTGTGCCTCTCCCCCTGCAGACAGAGCGAGCCTACCAGAAGCAGCCGACCATCTTCCAGAACAAGAAGCGGGTGCTGCTCGGGGACACGGCCAAGGAGAAGCTGCCCAGATATTACAAGAACATCGGGCTGGGCTTCAAGACCCCCAAGGAGGTGAGCTGGGCCCCTGCCCCTCCCCCGCCCCTGCCCCTCCCCCGCCCCGCCCCTCACCTTCCCTCTCTTCCCCTCCAGGCCATCGAGGGCACCTACATTGACAAGAAGTGTCCCTTCACTGGCAATGTCTCCATCAGAGGCAGGATCTTATCTGGTGAGTCAGGGGCCCAGTGGGAGGAGGACTGGGAACCCCAGCCCGCGGGCACCCTCTCTCACCCCTTGCCTTGCCGCCCCCAGGTGTGGTGACCAAGATGAAGATGCAGAGGACCATCGTCATCCGCCGGGACTACCTGCATTACATCCGCAAATACAACCGGTTCGAGAAACGCCACAAGAACATGTCTGTGCACCTGTCACCCTGCTTCCGGTGAGGCCTGGGGGCTCCGACAGTGGCAGCTGGGTGGTGACCCCAGGCCTCTCGCTCTGAGAGCCAGGTTTTCTGAAGGGGAGCGGGGACACTCCGTGTCCATGAGCCCTCACAGACCGGCCTGACCATCACCCCAGGACTGTCAGGAAGAAGCCGGGGCGAGACCCCTTAGAGCCTGGCTGGGGGGTCCCGGCCCCGGGGCTGACGGCTGGGGTGCCAAGACCCCCAGGAGCCCGTCTCTGCACCTTGAACTGATCTCTGGGACGAGCCAGGGATTCTTAGATGGAGGTGAAGTGGGAGAGCATGCCAAACTTGTACAAAGACACAGAGGTTGGAGATGGCCAGCTTTGT